AGCCAAAAAGTTTGAAAACATGACGTTTAACTGAGACTTTATACCAGCTTAACAGTTCCTTGATTTTAGTGTGCTTATTTTATTGGGAGATAACAGTTTTGTTTTGTTTTTTTAGATTCTAAAAACTGAATTCTTGAAAACTTCATACAATATATTTTGATCGTATTTAGATCCCTTTTCCTAACTACACCCTCCTTAATCTCTCCCTCACTGGAGACATTTGGGAACACATCGATTTTTAATCATGGAAGATTTTCTAAAGAGCAGAACTGCACTATTATAATAGCTTCTTAACAGTTTGGTTAGGAAACGTGTCCTGTACCTTAAAAAGTGTATGAGCTTGAACTTGATATTACAGCACTGTACTGGACCTACTGACAACTAGCAAGGTGAGAACTTCCTGTCCTCCCATTCCAAGTATCTTCAACAGCTTTACACGGATAGCCTGAATCAGTCATGATGAGTGTACTATGTCACAAAATTGGTAGACTCTATAAAATAAGACCTTTTATCTTAGAAAAATTGCACATATGTATTCCTCACATTGCTGACAGAGGAAATGTTCAGAATCTTTTCTCCTAAGTGCATCTAAAAGCATGTTCTGTTTAACATGAATAACACCTCTAAGAGACTCATGAGAAAAAAATATCCCAAGCTCACAAGAGATATTTTCCTGCCTTGGCACAGGAGTCCTGGATGAACAAAGCTTTCTTTCCTTTTCAGTCCCCCCCTCACCTTAAACCTGTATTTATAAAAGGAGGAAAATCTAACTCATTCTTGTTTTTTTTGCATGAGGGGTTTATTATCTATATATGGCCACCTTAAAAAAATGACAGGAGATACCTTCAATAAAAATCACCACCAAGATATAACAATAAAACCTAATACAAATTGACAAAGAACAGAGGGGGTAATAAATTACAAGATAAATAAAATAGAATACTCAAGATAAAACACTGAAATGAGGTCAGCAAGATGGCTCAGTGGATAAAGGTGCTTGCTGCACAAACATGGTGACTTGAGTTTAGTCCCTAGAAGCCATGTAAATGTGGAGGGAGAAAAGTGATTCCACAAAGTTGTTCTGACCTCCACACATGAACACACATATACACAATAACAAAATTTAAAAATGAACTAGTGGGAGGTTTCCATATAGCATTTTCTAAAGGCTTTCAGTGTTACTTACCCCTCCCCAGACTCCCTCTTCTGTCCTGCCCTCCCACTCCACACACCATTGAACCCTTCCTACCTTAACATTCGCCTCTCTCCCTCCATATCACTGCATTCTACCTGCATTTACCTGCCCTCCCAGAAAGCCTCCCTCACCACCACCCATGGTCATTTATTAGTTTCTTGACCTCTCTGAATTTTCAAATTGAAACACGAATACCTAAGATTTCAAAGCTAGCATCCAGCTATGAGAGAGAACATGAGATGTGCATCTCTCTGAGTCTGGGTGACCTCACTTAGGGTTGTTTCCAGTTCCACATTTACCTGAAAATTTCATAATTTCACAATTTTTTGGTCCTTTTTGAGACAGGGTTTCCCTTTACTCACAGCTGGCCTGGAAGTCGATATGGAGACCATGCTGACCTTGATCTCACAGAGATCTGTCTCCGTCTGCTTCCCAAGTGCTGGGATTAAAGGCATGCACCACCATGCCTGGCATAATTTCAGCTTTTTTAAAAAGCTGAATAACATTCCATTGTGTATATGTATCATACCTTCATTATCAAGTCATCAGTTGATGGATATCTAGGCTGTTTCCAATTTCTAGCTATTATAAAAAGGGTAGCAATGAATACCAGACAGCTGTAAGATTCTATTGTTGAAGATACTATATACATGAGCTATAGAACAAACAAGGAGAAATCAAGCTGGTGCTGACGTCAGAGCCTCATCTCTACTGACCAGCATTTATAGTGATGGAAGGTGTTATGCAAGCTACCTGAAGGGAAGAAAATAATCATCAACCTTTCCCAGTTGTGAATCCCGTGAACTACAATAACAACTGACCTGACAAGTTATGCCCATGGGTACAATAGTGACATAAATATTATGGGAATAACCAACCACTCTTTAATTGGATTTTTAAGTTCTACTTTCTAGGTTGGAGCTTATACCTGACATCAATATCAGGCTTAGGAACCTGAGGCTAGACACATCACAGAACATAGGGGGGAACCTAATAATAGTTTTCTACTAAATAGTTATCATATTAAACTGACTCGATGATTTCACATCACTCACCAGAGAAGTTTCCTTATGAAACATTGATGGTGACTGACACGTAAATGCACAACTGGCCAATGTGTAGAGAATAAGAGGCTACAGAGTGCTCATCCCTGAATAGGACAGCTTTATCAGACTTCTGACTACCAAGACTCAGAAATCATTGCAGAAGAGGGTGGAAAGATTCTAAGATCCAGAGGTGGAAGATGACCCCTAGGAAACAGAGTCTTCCAGACAGCTAGTCAGTAACTCATAAAATCACAGCAATGGTCACATCTTCCATAAGACCCATGCAAGCTCAAATGAGAAAAAATTCCCAGCAGAACATGAAGAAGTGAATAAGAAGTTCTAACCCCACCTAAGGGAATTGTAGCAACAGATAGTTACTGGAAGGGACAGAGATAGCCCCTTTCAGGCATGGGACTCTTAGTAGGTTAACCAGGCTCCAGGAGATGGACACAGACTAAAGGACATTTGTAGACACAAATTAGACTCTATCAGGGACACACACACACACACACACACACACACACACACATGCACATACTACATTAAATTGGACTGTGGGTAATTGGGTGGGGGGGTAATAGGGGAGGTTTGGAGAAGGGATGAAAATTGCAAAATTTGAAAAAGAAAACTAGTGATTGAAGACAACTAATTCTGAGATGTTCAGAAAGCAAAGGATAAGGGTCCACTGGACCCTTAGAATATTAGATTATATAATCTAATATTCAGAAAAAGCAAGCTTTTAAACCTTTGTCCCAACTCTAAAAGTCATTTTCCCAATCATTTGATGAATAGAATAACATGATGGTGCAATCATCCTAACCATCCATACTTGATTATTCATCAAGTACATGCTGAAGACAATGTACTAAATTAACATCCCACAGTGCTTATTACTTAATTTTTTTCATAGTAACCAGCCTAGGCTTAGACTAGTCTTGATTATCACATGTAGCCTCAAACCCTTAAGGAGATATTCTCTAGAACTGATAAAGAGGAAACTTTGGGAAGGGGGAAAGTTAGATTGGGAAAAATAAAAGGAAAAGTGGCTCCAAGGAGGTTAGTTTTCTTTTAACCGTGTGTGTGTGTGTGTGTGTGTGTGTGTGTGTATGTGTGTGTGTGTTTGTGTGTGTGTGTGTGAATACACACACCACGGTATGCATATGAAGGTCAGAGTACAACCTCTGGTATCAGTCCTCACCTTCCAATGTGTTTGAAACAGCCTGTTTTTGTTTGCTACTGCATATGCCAAACTAGTGGGCCCATAAGCTTCTGGGGATCCACTTGTCTCCACCACCCATCTAACCAAAGGAATCAGAGATACACACACACACTACTGTATCCAGCTTTACCCAAGTTCTGGGGATCTGAACTCAGTTCCTCATGCTTGAGTAGCAAGTGCTTTACTCACCCCACTTAACCATTTCCCCAGCCCTTCCATGAGGCT